ACTCGCGACCCGAGCGACCCTCGCGACCCTCGCGACGCTCGCGACGCTTACGCGACTTCGCCCTGGGTACATATACATATTAGTTCTACTTTCATTTCTAACTAGCCTCAGTAAAGATTTCATAATGAGTTCAAATGCTACCATGCTATTGTAAAGCATATTGTCGGTTGAATAGAAAAATGTTAAAAATTACCATACAAAGTAGTATTGTAATATAAACTTAACACTGTAAATGAAAATTAATTTAAAAACTTTATTCAATCTCGTAGAAAATGTACATTTTGAATGTTGACATTATTCTGTTTAATCGACGATATGCATTTTTCCCGTCTTTACTCATGTTTTCCATTTGCATGGAATTTTTTCCCATTGGATCGATTACTAATATGGAATCAATCGGGCTAAAAGGAAAACAATTACATTGGTGCCGTCGAAACAGCCTCCTTTATGTATCAACAAGCCATTTTTATATAAATTGTTTAATAGGGTGTCTGTAGGAGGTTAATTTGAAATATTGTAATTGTCATTTTGTAGTGTTCGCTCCTAATATAAAACGTCATACTTGTGCATAATAAATTTTGTGTTTCATGCTATAAATGGCAAAATATTTTGTCATCCCTTTACTAACACATACTTAGAACTAAGTTCAAATGTTAATAGAAATATTAGTAAATCAACACTATAAGTATTAAATTTTTACTTTTTTAACTCCTTAGTATCAGCTGATTCACTGGAGCTGTCCTCGAAAACGCCTTTCTTCTTTTTCTTCATTTCTGGTGACGATTCTTCTAACTTTGTTCGTTCTGAATAAATAGACCACATTTCATAAACTTACTCATAAGATAAATCCTAAATATCTATAAAACCATTAATGTAAATCGGTATTTTTACGTATTGTTACAAAGATTTAACGGATCTCGAAAAAATTACCGATACTAAGAGCGCGGTCAAACCTTTGACTAAACTATCGCACAACTGTTCAGTCTCGCTTTGATTCCTATGAGCTTATATGGATACTACTCGATTTTTAGTTGTGCAATAGTCATCATCATCATCATCTCCTTATCCTACTCCCGTAGGGTCGGCGCCACAGGTTTTTGTCGTCCACATAACTCTATCATACGTCATCTCAGTCATCACTCCCTTTTTGATCATGTCACCTTTTACACAATCCTTCCATCTCTTTCTACGTCTACCTCTACCGATGTACCCTTCCACACTCATAACTAACGTTCTCCTTATAACATGCGATTCATCCCTCCTCATAACATGCCCATACCATGCTACCCTTTAGTTGTGCAATAGTGTGAAATAATAAAGATTATTTTTATTTAAAAGTGTACGCTCACTCTCAGTATGAAAGTTGGTAAGTAAAAGTTACCTTTCTTGTCAGGTCTCCCCGGACGTACAATAGGCAGGGAATCAGAGGATCTGGAGTCTCGCTCAGCTGATGATGATATATCTTCAGATGAGGATTCCATGCTGGAAACCACATTAACAAACTAATATTATAAAACTAAATTTTGAAATAAAGGATAGTCTGGAAGAACACATAGGCTACTTATTTGTATTGGGTTAATTCCACGCGGACGGCATCGCAGGCGAAAGCTAGTATGTAAATAATTTACCCGACGTTATTACAACGAAGGAAAACATCGGGGATGTCTAGATATATCTAAGAAATTCAAAGATATGTGTGAAGTCAACCTGTAGTGCGTGTTTCTCTATGTCTAAGTCACCCCTAACTTAGGGTAGCCTGCGAGTTCCCTAGTGGGGATGTATTTACCCTGTATCCTTGAAGTCCTCATCAGTCTCATCATCGTCCTCAGAGGGCACGTCGAGTGAGTTAAGTTTGCGCGGCTTGCGGCGCTGCTTCCTCCGCACCTTCCTCTGGCTCCCCTCCCCTGTCTG